AAACAGAAAACATCATGTTCCTCAAACTTTAAATAACTTAACAGGGGATGATTTTACTGTTTCATCATGTTGACATGAATTTTCTCCATGAATAAATTAAGTGTTAACTTACTGTTGGAAGCTGAAGAATTTCAGAAAATCAACATCGAGAGCTAACGAGGCCAGCAACTGTAACTTCGTGCAGCACACTTCAAAGTYAGCAGAAAACTCAACACCTGTCTGGATCCTCACTACAACTATTGTCCAGCTCAGAAAACAGTTGATAAAAGGTGAAAATATCCACAGCAGAGTTTGTTGTAAACTTATCTAAACTTCTTTACATTAGGACCTACGTATTCTGAMTGGTTGGAGAGGCTGTCCATATTTYCATTCCTTTATCATTTCCTAAAAAGGCACTCATTTTCTGTGCGTGACACTAACTTCACTGCAGTCTTTCCAACTGAGACTTCTGCTGCTACAAACATACCTTGCATCTAAATTTAGATTTTACATGGTGAAAATCGTTGGCTGCCAGGTATTTATGAACTACAGGTTCTGTTTTGTCTGAACAGTTAATTAGTTAACAAGGTTTTATGGCTCTAATATGCTTATATTGTAAGAAACTGATTGTATTCATCAGGTTTTATATCACTGAGTTTCACCAACATAACAATGGAAATTAATCCTGTGGGGTTTATTSATTTTACCAAATGGAAATTATATAAAGTAAACAGTATTGCTTCAACACTCATTATAATGTTGATAAACTTGTCTGTTTTCCAGGGAAGGAAGTGTCAGCGAACTGTCCGTCCACACGAAGCAGTCAGGTTGACATTTGCTGATTGCTCGACAGCACGGCGGTTACGCCCTCGCACCTGCGGGACCTGCACTGATGGTCGCTGCTGCWCCCCGTCTGTCATCCGCACCGTGCGCCTCCTCTTCCACTGCTCCGATGAGGAGGTGTTCTACAACGTCATGTGGATCCAACGCTGCCGCTGCAGCAAGAGCTGCCACACAGACAGTGAGACCTCAGGCCCTTTCGTCAGCCTCTACAACGACATCCACATCTTCAGGGACTGAGGCTGACTCACTAAGCCCAGAAGAGACCTTGAACCCCCCCCCCCCCCCAATCTAAAACAAATGGGTGGGAGAGTGATTCCCTTGCTTGCACTTTACGTCTCGTGCCCAGATGATGTCAGTTTGTCCACACCAGAGGTGTCCTAAGACAACACTGAGGACAACACACTGCTGCATCACACTGTGGTCAGAAAGCTTCAACTCAAACTTTATTTATTTGTAACTAAGCTTCCACTCCACAGGGCTGTTATATSATGAAAGTCGTGAACATTCATTTCATCTTCTTATTCCTTTTTGAAATGTTGAGAAATAGATGACTCCAGATGTTTCAATCATTACCAAGACTTCTCGTATCATGTTTGCTGAAATTTTATATTACTTGTTTGAACATGGAGCTGATTGACAGGATGTTAGTGTCGGTTTGGTGTTTGTGTTTGCCAAGAGAACTTTCACAAGAGTTTATAGACTGTTTGTTAAGCTTTTGAATTATAAAACGATAATGTYAATAGACTTGGAGAGGTAAAGCCACCTCATTGTAAGCGGTGTGATCTTCTTGTGTTTTTGTAATGCTAGTTCTCCACACTGTGCAGAAGTACTTCAGCTTTAGGAAATAATATCATGATAAATATATCAGTTGTATTACGGGAGCTGAGTAAATGTTTTTGTAGACAAACTCTTGCATATTTAATAAAAATGTATTAATTTATGGTTTGCTTTATTATTTAGCTAACATTTGACCAATGTGTGTGAATACCTTTCTAACAGACCAGTTACAGTGGCTTAAGGCCCCCACATACTCAGGAGTACTGTGTACTGTCTGTGAGCTGTGTGGACTCTGCACATAGTGTCCGTGGAAGTTAGAGACTTTATACTCGAGCGTACTGATTGCTTGACAAATTCCTTAATTTTTCACTAATTCAGTCATGGCATCAAAGACGAGGAGGAAGATACAGCTTACATTTAGCTTAAAACAACAACAACAACAACAAAAAAAAAAAACTTAAGGCCCCCACATACTCAGGTGTACTTCACTCCGCGGAGGTCCGCGCGGACTCGAGGCGGACTCGAAGTGGATGTCCTCTGGAC